CTGCTATTGAAATGCCTCTGTGTAAAGATATGATGTTGCAGAATTGGTACAGAACTGTATGCTAAAAATTACATATTTCGCTGCTGTTACGACCGTCACAACCCCCTTACGATCGTCACACGCCTTTTAGCGTGTTACGACCGTCATGCCTGTGTTACGATCGTAACACGGGTTATATCAGTAACCCCTATAGCAGATAGAAGCTCTTCTTCTTCAACATTTCCTTCTTCCTCCACTACTTCAAAACTGTCCCACTACCTCCATCAATCCCCATTCACACCACTTAACTCACCATTATTCTCCACTAATTTTCAAACTTCCCATTACTTCCCCTCATTATATATACATCTCATAAACCGTATCCCTCACCAATTCCAACCCACAACCCACAACCCACTCTCTCTAACACTATTGCATGCAAAAATGGCAAACGTAAACCAGCAAATTCCAGGCATCCACTTACGCGATGGTGAACAAGGTGAAACCCAACGCACGAAGTTCTTGAAGTTTCAACGCCGAGGCCTCCATCCCACTAGGTACGTCGACATTGACTGCCTCAGAGACCTTGGATTGCTTCAAAGTGTCCAACATCTCCTTCAAAATGTCAACCTTTGGACCCTCTGTAGCCAGCCCCAACCCACGTACGAGAATCTCACTCTCGAGTTCCTCAGTTCCTTCTGCTACATCACTCCTAATGGTCCAACAAATCAACTTATTGGTGCGGTAAGGTTTCGCATTTTCGGAACCGAATACGACTTCTCTCAGAATGCATTCGGTCGATTACTCGACTTCTGTATTGATGAAGGCGCTCACCTCCGTGTACCTGACACCTTCCATGAGGAATCCTTTAATCTATGGCATAGCCTGACCAACAACCGTGCTAGCTCCTACGATCACCTCAATGCCACACAAATTCATAATCCCGCCATTCGCTATTTCCATAGCATCCTGTGCAACACCATTTTCGCAAGGGACAGTAACCATAAGCTCAACTCCAAAGAGTTATTCTTCATGCACTGCGCGTTCACCGATCAGAAAATCAACGCCGCACCCTTCCTCTTGGCCCATATTCATTCTATTTGCACTCGAGGCGGCAAACCTTTCTACTTCGGAGGGCTTGTCACTTCTATTGCCTTGGCTTTGAATCATGGCGACACCCTTGCCCATCTGCCCTCCAAAGCACCGGTTTTGCTCACCTTGGACCATTGCAAATTTGCTCATCTCATTCACGAGCGGGACGACGGAAAGTTCAATCCAGTGATCCGAAACGTTGTTTATTCTAACATTGTTCTACCTTGCAGGGACCGTATCGATCCATAAAACCGAGCCAATTGGCTATTTGATGCCCCTGACGGCCATGCTCCCGTGCACGATGACCAGCCGGATGCTCCAACTGACGAGATCTAGGAGGAAATGGACCGCGAAGCACCTGCTCCCGACATTCCTGAGTCCTCTTCTGCACCACCTACTTTCACTATGGAGGACATCCTCAGAGCCCTCCATCAGCAAAATCAGATAGGTGTAGCTCTTGAATGGAAGCATCAGGAGCAGTATGACACTCTATATGCACAGAACGTCCAAATTCTGAGCGGCCAGCGCAACGTCAACGAGAAGCTGGACGAGGTTTTATCTGAGCTTAACGCCTTACGGATGGAAGTAACCGCTCTTGGCTCGCATGATACCGACCTTGAAGCCACACCTACCCGACGCTCCCGCACCCGAAGCAGAGGCAGAGGCCACCAGTAGTTTTCTTTTGTTTTTGTTTCTGTATTTCATTCATTTCCCTTTCCGTACCGTTTTTCTATTTGTAATCCTTCCTACCATATATCATGACATTGAGACAATGTCTGATATAGTGTGGGACAGGCACTATGTTTTTCATTCCGCATTTTCTTCATGTTGCAAATTCTAGTAATTTTATGGTAATTTTATGATATTTTCAAGTTTTTCAAGTTTTCCCCGTATTATAAGTCATACCAAAAAATTCTCTGTTCGCATAGCTCGACATACCTACCTTAAATGGAAACCTAGTTAGGAAGACGAGAACGAGTAAACAAAATCAATACGATTATGACACCGCAAACATCCTGCTTATGCAACCCGTCTAAACAAAACGTTATACGTACACCTCGATTTTTAAGTTCTGAAGTAACCCCTAGTAGTTTATACTAGCAGTCAGCACCGTCTGGACACAAACCACGTGGGGAGCCGATGAATATAAGTGTTTGATGCCTAATCAATGAAACACCCTTCTCATCTCGATGCTAAGCAAAGAAAATCTTGTGCCAAAAGACAAAGATCGCATACGAGACATAAGTATAAGAGAAGAAGTCCATTGTTGGTTGGTTCAGAGGTATCTGGTTCTGAACTTGGTAGGGCGTGCTACGGCTCGATCCCCCGCAACCTCCGATTTGGAAAAATATAGGGTAACCACATCCGTGTACCAGACCCCGTGACAAAAATAGGATCAAAGTCACTAACCGGCTACTCCACAACGTGCGTGCAAAGACAAAGGGCTTAATGTGATTGCGCCAGAACGAATCCGGGCGAAAAAGCACGAGAGGATCGAGGTTGAAATGTGACGAAACGATTAAGCGGTTTGTTAAAGTGGAAATACGCGACTCAATTGTGTCATTGGCGTATCACTGACGTTTTACTCAAGTACCGGCCGACTGACGATTGGTTTTATGTGTTTTATCTCGAAAATCAAAGGTATGGCGTGCATGCGCGCCTGACGAACACTTGTCCGATTTTTACGACTATTTGCTTGAGGACAAGCAAAGGTTTAAGTATGGGAGGATTTGATAACGAGAAATCGTATCATATATTTACTATGAAATTAAACCGCTTTATATCGTATTGACCCGATTAACTCCCGAATACTCCGAGTTTTGTATGATTTTATGCAAGTACAACATATCTTAACTCAAACTAGAAAGAAACATGAAATGTACAAGATTGCGGCCAAGACCAGAAGAGAAAAGATAAATCTGTCAAAAATCCAAAATTTGCTGCTATTACGGTCGTCACACCCTTGCCACGATCGTAAGACACTTCAAAAGCGTGTTACGACCGTCATGCATTGGCCACGACCGTAACGTGCTATTTCATGGAATCTGCACGTAACACACCAGTCACGACCGTAACAAGCATTTTATTAGTTATTTTGAACGTGCAGTACGTGGTCAAGTAACGAAGCATGCATGTGTGCCTAATTTTTCTCCAACGATCAAGACCACCTTCTCCTTATTTTTCTCAGCAAGCCAAGAAGCTAGCAACGTGAAATATAATCCCAACTGTATTCATTCTCTATAAATAGCTTGGACTTCAAAGAAGAAGGAGGAGAGTTCAGTTCAGAAAATTCTTGCGGAAGCTCTGCCGATTTAAAACCCGATTCTATTTTCCGATTTTATTTTGTTCTTGTTTCCTTTCAGAACCTTTAATAGCATTTCCAACATCAGGAAATTGCTATTGTAGTTAGGATTTGTTTCAAGCCTCAGCATTTTGTTTATTTAATTTTCATTCCGACGTTCCGATCTTACCGGCTTGTGGAAGAAGGATCTAGGATACTATTGCTTTTCAGGTTTTTTTTTATCGTATTCAATATAATTGCAATTCATTTATGTTAAATTTCTGTTCTTTATTTATAATGCATGTGTTATTGTTTTCTGATTTTATTTCCCGCATTTTAATTCCGAGCATTATGAGTAGCTAAATACCCGTAGTCGGGGTGTGATGAAATAACCGAATGAATTAATGTATTTCTAAGCTAAAACCTTAATTAACTTAATTTCTGACCGTGACTTTTTATAATTAAAAATTAAGTTTTTTGTTACGAGAGTAAGGAAAGTAAAATAGGGAGAAATCAAGACCACGAGAGTGTGAGGTTTTAACCGGATAGCTAAAGTTAGGCATTCGATTTAAATACAGCGAGAGCGCTTTAAAACGAATTAGATTTATTTAGTTTTCAAAAAGATACTTTCTAAACACTTATGGGCTAGCGAGAGCAGACATTTGACTTTAGGAGTATGATCCGAGGTAAGACCACAAGAGTGTGAATCAAGGGTTTTTAAACTGATAAGTACTACAGAACAATTTAAGTTAAATATTTTTATATGCTTATGTACAATTTAATTCGCATAGGTTCAAAACATTACACTCCGACCACTTTAATATTATAATTCTTTTAATTGAATTTAGTTTCTCCTTTAGTTTTAAACTTCTAAAAACCAAACGTGACAATTTTCGCCTTAGCTAAACTAACCTGTTTCATAACACTAGAGTGATTACGAAGTCCCTGTGGGTTCGACATCTTTTTATTACTACCGCGATAGACTGTGCACTTGCAGTTAAGATACCGTTAGACACATTAGGTCTCTCTCCTTCTTCTTATTTTCACAAAATCATCTTTCTTGAATCCTTTGAACTCTATCAATTCTTATTGCTCATGTGTTGATTTATGCATAACATATTCTTGTTATCTATACAGTTGTTTGGAAATGAGAGAAACACAATTAAGCGCATGTTTGGTCAAGGCTCACAGTTGTAGCATTAACAAAACCATGGTGCAATCGAACGGGAGATGTCAAAGAGAAACTGGACATGTAACCAAATTCTCACATTTGATTCACACAATAGACAATGTTCCCAGAATAATGACATTATCAAACACTCAAATCAACTTCGATGACCAAATCAAACTTGAAAGCAAAATGCCATTAGACAAAATCGTAGAATCAAGCTAATTGAAGGGAGGAATAAAAAGGTTTATTAAGACTCATTACAGAGAAGTCGTATTTCACTGTAGTTGAAGCCATATCTCACTAAGAGTTTCACTGGCAAAGCAAGAAAACGACGAGAACACTAAATAGATAAGGACTTAGGATGAGAATCTATTAAGGACTTGAAGGGTTTTGTCAAAATATATTGTTCTAAACTCTAAATTCTGAACAACATGAACATTAAAAGGACCATCCATCCTACGAACAGGTTCACAGAGTTCAACTCCTTGGGCTCCTACCCCTCGGGTTACAGCTCCTCTTAAATATATTCCTGCAATCTCAGAGGAAAGGATGGCACGCTCCATTTGTCCATACATGTAGATATTCATAATAAACATAGGAAAATTAAAAGATGTTTCTATGAGTTGAAAATGGGTTTAATGGATGCTTATATGTGAGAATATTGTGCATGTGTCTTGACAATATAGGACCACTTGTTTACTGCTATTTATGTTACTATTTCTCTTTTTATTCTTCTAAATTTTTAGAAAAAAAATGGTGAAATATAAAGTTAAAATTCATTCCTAAAGCCCGTTCAATTCATCCACAATACTGAAGCCATGTGTCATATAGAATGAACAGACAAACTTGATTTAACAAATTTTCAAGTATGTTTAACATTAAAATAAGATTTTACCTCTGTTTAAGCGATTCATATGCCAAGTACACGACTTTCAGCACATCCATTAAAACTTGTACGTCAGAACCAGAAAATAAGTGTTGAATGTTCCTCGCAAAGGACTCGGTCATATTGTGTAATTCAATCAAGGCCTCCAGGTGCTTTGTCTGAAGCTTAATACCATTTTGCATGTCTCCAGATAAACATACAAATATTCATGAGCAAAAATATCAATAATGTGTAGATAGTACAGAGAATAATGCAGTTAACAATGGCAATTATCATACATTTTTTTCTAAACTAAAGATATATGTTGAATTATCATAATTTTCAACTTACAATTTTCTATTCAAAATTAAACTCAACGTCATTTGGAGAGGAAAAAAATGGAACATACTATTCAAATATCACGATCCTGTGAGATAAGTGCCAGAAGAACCATTAAAAATGCTGATAACAATAGCATAATCACAGGAGGGTCGAGCCATGAGTCCATGACACTGCGGTCACCGACATGGACTTCCAACATTGCAGATATTCTATTTTTGCTGATACATGAACATGTGCTACCTCCTTAGTCTGACTTGGGCACCTAACATAATAACATTTCAGGAGTATTCATTCAATTTCTCACATTTTTTGAATGAAATGAATATCGTGTGCTCTTGTAATAGCTCATCAGTAACAGGAGAGGTGAAGACGGTCTCCAAGGACGTGCAGTTGGTGACATCCAACACTTCAATAGATGGTGGGAGTTTTGGTAGAGACTGAATGGTCATGCATTTGCACTACAATTGAGGTCCATTTTCTTTAAATTAATTAGATCCTGTAACAAACCAAAGAAACTTTGATTACATATTATACAATGTAGTAATATAAGTTTCATATAATTGAAGTATTATACAATATCATACAAATTATACAATATTAGTTTCATATAATTGTAGTAATATTTCACATATTATACAATTTAGTGTTATACAATATCTTGCCACATAATAAAAAGTTCAATGACAACCTAATTTGAAACAATAAACCAAGTGCCAAATTTAAGCTTTAAAAATTTAGAGAATCACAGGTTTTGACATCCGCATGACTTGCTGTCTAAGTTGTTTGAAAGTGATATGATTAGAAGTCAACATCAAAACCTTCAACCCTCCAAACGATTGCGTTGAGAAAAAAACGTGGAAGCTCCAACTCCAGAACATCCCAGTTTTAATATCAAGGACGTTGGTATCGAATTTATTCTAACAACTTTTTAACTTTGTAAGGTTTAAGCAATTTCCGATTCATCTTACTGTGAAGGTTCCGGGGTAATAGCAATGGTCACTAATTCTGGCATAAGTTGTTTCGAGAATTAAGCCTTATTGTGAATCATTTTGGAAGAGTACCTACAACTTTGAGGAAACAAAAAGTGACATATATTAACAAATCTGCAAAACACCAACATAATTCTGCATAAGCGTGTAGTTCGAAGTTTCTAATGATACGATAATTAACAAAATAATATCAGGCATCGGTGATGCATTGGAATCAAAGAAAATTGTAACATAAATCAGAATTGAAGATACAAACTCTGGTATTTATTGTTTGCTCCAATTCCTTTGTTTGCTCCTATAACAATCGCATACCTATGGAAATTCAACTTGAAACATCTCTTAAAATCAATTCCTGCTGTGGAACTCTCTTTATGTAAAAATTTACATATAAAACCATAAACAAAAAATTAAAAAAAACTATAAAATAGTCAAACTTATAGTGATGATAATGTAGGTGAGACTGAGAATCCTCAACAACCTTTTATCAAACAGATGGGGCGCATATACAAACCTAAAATAATAACAAAGAATATAAACACCAATGTCAACCAAAATCATAAATCTCACCACCGCCGACGAATCTTCCCCCTTCCGCGTGAGCCAACATCACCAAACCTGAAACAACAAACACTAAATTAAAAACAAAATTGAAACAGTTCGAAACTTAATAACGAAAATTAACAAACACAAGTAAAAAAGAATGAACGAAGAACAAAAAATGGATGAAAAACGTCACCAGCGATAAACTGAACCACCACAATTAGAATCTCGTCGGAAACAGTCTTGCATCTGATTTTCCACCAGTTTAGTGTGGATTTGATTTTACATGGAAAATGAAGAAGATCGATTTAGGTTTTTACAATAAACATAACAAACATATTGCAGTCATAAACAAATTTCAAATCATTCACCATACATTTACTCATGTGTGTCACATATCATCGCATGTTTCAAGTCTGATTTCGATAAAAAAATGTAATATCAATGCATGTTGTGGCGTTCTTACAAGATCCAAGGGAAAAGTAGACGTAGCAGCAGTTATGCCCGCCAGCCCACCACCAACAAAATGTATGCAAAGGTCTGCACTGACATTATCATTATTACTTTGTAGTTGCGGAACCATTCTCGGCAACTGCACATATAAAAAACCAATCAAAACAAAAACAAAAGAACATATCTGTTATTACAGAATGCCAGTATCCTTACCTTCTTGTAGTGGTCATAAGAATAAAAGTTAATTGAAGAATAAGGTAATCAGTGAGCAATTGTAACCAGATTCCCTTTCTAGAATGCTCTAAACTCTTCTTCACGGATTATTCTTGATGTTCATTCCATATACTTGCTTTTCTCAAAGTTGCAACATTTGAAAAGAGTATAACATTTCCAATCACCTCCCACTGAATTTCATTTGTCAGCTTAAGAATATGTTGGTTGCTTGCTTGCTCTACAAATCAATATGATGAAAAATAACGTTGGGAGATATACAATATGAGAACATGCCAAAACATGAAAATTTATTGGTGTTTGGTGAATTAATAATGTACCTCAAGCTGTTTGGGAAGCCGATTTTCTCCAAAGGTCTGGCCATGTTTCAGTCGAGAGGTTGATGAAGATGAGAAGAAACATGAAGTATTTAGGGTTATAAATATGTGAGACATGAAAGATGAAACAGTTGCAGAGTAATGGGTGTTGGAACTGTTTTTGGAATTGAGATAGCAACCGATCTGTGTAACCTTCATAGTAGAGGGAGAAGATTCACTGAAAACCGAAAGGATTGTAGAATTTGAAAACGGAAAGGTTGGATTTTGTGAAAACAGTACGAAGGATTTGGGAAAAAATAACTGACATGTGAGTCATCCACGTGGCAAATTAAAGAAAAAGCAGAAGTGAGTTTCCTTATATGATAGATATTAATTTAATATCTAATATTTAACTAATAAAATAATTTAGTATTTTTGTTTTTTATTATAAGTCATTTTAGACTTTTCACACGTATTAAAAAAAATGATTATTATTATATGAAAATGAGAAATTATGAAAGTTTTTATAAAATTTTTTTTTATTAATGAAATTTAAAAGATAATTTTGTTAGTTATTATTATTATAATTATAATTATTATAATAATAATAATAATTATTATTATTATTATTATTATTATTATTATTATATTTTATTGTATCTTTATAAGAGTAGTTAGGTCTTTCTTTACTTTTAATATGTATATTATGGTGTAACCCTTATTCTCGATGTTTTTTTGTTCATTCTATTGAAATCTTAAACTAAATATTATTTCTCCTTCTCAATGTTTATATATAATCACTATTGTTAACATGGTATCAAAGAGTCTGGATTAATTTGGATCTACCGTAAAAGTGGTTCGTATTTTTTATGTTGTTTGTTAGTGTGTTGATGGCGCTTTTTCAATTGAATCTGTCTCTTTCCATTTAGCTAGTGTATAACTAAATTGTTGGTAGGTGTTGACGTTGCTTTTTTATTTTGATTGTATTCCTCCAAGAATGAATAGTTGGTAGATGGTGAATATATGATATTATTCAATTGAATACGCTAGTTTTTTAGATTGAAAAGAAGAAGAAAAAAACTTTGTCACTAGCTGTTAGGTGGTGATATGCCATATGTTTTGAATGGAGAAGAATTATTATTTATTGATAATGTGAGAACAGGTTTTTTTCATTATTAATTCTTTTTGGATCAATTTTATTTGATAGTTTATTTAATTGTGGTGTTTTAGTTATCCCCCATTGATTATAATGAGTAATGATAAAGATGACTCTCTTCAGTCAACTAGTGTCCAACTCAATGAAGAAAATTATCCTTATTGGAGTTATGTGATGAAAAAAATTTAAAAGGAAAAAGGATGTGGAGTTATATTAATGGAACCTCGGTTAAACCTACATATAAAAAGGATGAAGCAAAATATGCAAAAGAGTTGGAAATATGGGATGTTATAAATTCAAAGATTCTTACGTGGATCAATAATTATGTTTCTCAGTTAATAGGTGTGTAACTAGCAAAATATGATATTGTCAAAGAGGTTTGGGACCATTTGAAATGTTTGTATGCTCAATCTAATTTTACAAAAAGGTATAAGTTGGAGAGTGGTATTAGAGTTCTCAAACAAAATAATATGACCATTCAGGAATTCTATTCAGCAATGAGTAATTTGTGGGATTAGTTAGCACTTAAGGAATCTGATGAGTTGAAAGTTGTCAAAGCGTACACTGATCAAAGAGAAGAAAACAGTTTGGTTCAATTTCTGATGGTGCTTAGGGATGACTTTGAGGGACTTCGTGGAAGTATTCTGCATCGTAGTCCTCTCCCGAGTGTTGGTTAAGTTTTTAATGAATTGTTGGCTGAAGAAATTAGACTCGAGTCCCACTTAAACATGATTTCAGATAAAGGAGTTCTCTTCACCCCTCCATCTATTTTTGCTGCTCCATTTCTTAAAGGAAAACCTCAAGGTAGGGTTGCAATTGGTATTGGTGAATGTGCTTTTTGTAAGGAGAAGGGTCATTGGAAAGCACAATGTCCCAGATTTTTGAAAGAAAATAAGAAAAACTTTAAGAGTCCATAATCCAATGTTGCTGATGTTACTCCTGCTATCATTGTTTCTGGTTCTGATCATGCATATCCATCTCAAACTACTTATCAAATATCTAATATTGCAGAGCAGCTTCAAAAGCTTATTGCCACTCAGACATGTGCCATGTCTGCCTCCTCTACTAAAGGTTTGAACTCTTCTTGTTTTTCAGGTATATCTCCTTCCATCTGGATTATAGACTATGGAGCATCACACCATATGTAATATGATGCTAAATCATTTGTGTCTTTGAATAGTGCACCATATATGTCGGTTATGACTGTTGATGACACTCATATGCCATTAATAGATATTGGTTTTGTCTCCTCACCTAATTTGTCATTTTCTGATGTTTATTAGATTTCTAACCTAACTTTGAGTCTTGCTTATGTTAATCAATTGTGTGATTCTAGTTACTCAGTTATGTTTTCTTCCACTTCTTGTTGTGTGCATGATCCTCATTCCATGAGGCTGATTAGGACAAGTCATAGACAAGGGGGACTTTATGGTTTGAAGGAGTTGAGAGTTCCAAACACTGCAGCTTCAACCTCTACTTCCACAACTAATTTATTATCCTTTTTCGTTTGAATTCTTTGTCTTCTAGTTTTTATTTATGGCATTATTGTCTAGGACATATCTCTACTTCTAGATTAAAGTATTTGGCTTCTACTAGAGTGTTAGGAAAGTTACAAACCAGTGATATTTCTGATTGTTGTGGTTGTAAACTTGCTAAATTTTCATCTTTACCATTTAGTAAAAGTGTTTCCATCTCACATGCACTGTTTGACTTAGTTCACTCTGATGTATGAGGTTCATCACCGCTTCTTACAAAGGGTGGATCTAGATATTATGTTTCATTTATTGATGAATATACTCGTTATTATTGGGTTTATCTTATGAAAAATCATTCAGAATTATTTGACATTTATTGTATGTTTCGTGTTATAGTTAAGACTCAACATAATGTAGTTATAGAGTGCATTCGTTGTGATTTAGGTGGTGAATATACCTCTAATAAATTTTTTAAATTGCTTGTTTTGATGGTATAATTCATCAAACATCTTGTACTGATACACCTCAACATAATGGAGTTGCTGAAAGGAAATATCGTCATATTATTGAGTCTGATTGCTCCCTTTTGTTGCCTGCTTCAGTTCCTAGTGAATTTTGGGGTGAAGTAGTTCTTACTGGTGTTCATGTTATTAATAGAATCCCATTGTCAGTCACGTCAGGTTGGTCTCCCTTTGAAAAATTATATAACTCTATCCCTGATTATTCATCTTTGAAAGTGTTTGATTCTACTTGTTTTGTTCTTCGCCCACAAGTAGAACGTAGTAAGTTGCCTTCTTGTTCTGCAATATGTGTTTTTCTTGGTTATAGGGATGGTCAAAAGGGTTATCATTGTTATGATTCTGGTGCAAGGAAATTATATGTTTCTCAGCTTTTTGTTTTCCTTAAAAACATCCCTTTTTACTATATTTCTTCTGTTCGTATATTACTAACAATTCAAAACTCACTCATATTGATCCTTTTGGTTATAATGATAATATTTCTAGTGATTATGGTTTTGTGAATTGCATGGTTGATACTATTGACACTCTATAAAATGAAAGCCCTCTTGTCCCCGCGGCTATCCAAGGACCTCCTACGACTGTTGATCCTCCACCTCCCCGTTATCCCTTTCGTGGCCGTAAGTTTACTCAATTGCCTGATTTTGTCTATTCCACTTATTCTTCTTCTTTTGCTTCTTCTCTAACCTCTATCCACATCTTGTCTGAGACCTCTTCCTATAAAGAGGCTATTCTTGACCCTCTTTGGCAGCAGGCTATGACAGAAGAACTTTCTACTTTGCATAAAATAGATACTTGGGAATTAGTACCCCTTCCTCCTGGAAAACGTGTTATTGGATCTCGTTGGATATACAAGATCAAAACTAAGTCTGATGGATCAGTTGAGAGCTATAAAGCATGTCTTGTTGCTAAGAGATTATCTTAACAATATGGTATGGATTATGAAGAAACTTTTGCTCATGGTGCTAAGATGACTACTATTCGCACTCTTATTGCAGTTGCATTTGTTCGTCAATGGCATATTTCTCAAATGGATGTTAAAAATGTATTTCTAAATGGTGATCTTCAAGAAGAAGTTTATATGGTACCCCCCCACAAGGTATTTCTCATAATCAATGAGAAGTGTGTAAGTTTAAGAAGGCATTATATGGTATGGAACAAGCTCCACGAGCTTGGTTTGAGAAGTTTACCACAATGATTAGATATATTGGCTTTCGCTGAAGTGATCATGATTCTGCTTTTTTTTTGTCAAGACCACTTATCATGGTTGTATTTTACTCTCATTATATGTTGATGGTATGATTATTACAGATGATGATATGGATGGAATTAATGATTTAAAATGACAGTTAGATAAATAGTTTGAGATGAAGGACTTGGGCACTATTTTCTACTTCTTGGGCATTGAAGTTGCCTACTCTCCTAGAGGCATAGTTTTAAAATCCGGACCGTTCAGGCCGGTCAAACCGGTTAGACCGTGAACTGGAGGATATAGCGGTCTGATAAGGTTATTAGACCATTGTTGCAATTGATCCGGTGAAAACCAATGTGACCCATCCGGTTCACTAGTCAGACCAATGAATCTGTGGGTTTTTTCATCGGGTGGGTTGATCTTTTATGTTTATTTTTTAGCTTAGTTATGATTTTGATCCCCTATTTTTATTTTCTTAAGTTTTGGTGTCTCTGTTTTAAAATTCAATTTTATTAATATTTATAATTATGTTAATTACTTATAATAACTAAATAATATTAAAATTATAAAAATGAAATTTTGTCAAATTTTAAGAATCAGACCCGTAACCTTTTAAAATTATTAAGATTGTAGTTTTACCTAGTATATCAAGAAGTCTTGTTATGTTTAATTTAATTAAAGAGAATAAATGTATATATTCTATGATTACAATATTACAATTCTCATCAAACTTTATTTATTATTAATCATACAATATAATGATATCATAAATTTAAAATATTAGAAAACTAATTATACGATATAATAATACTTTGAACTAACAAAAGTTTTGAAAAAAAATCATGTTATAAAAGAAAATTAAAACTATATTCTCACAT